TAGTAATGTTTTTTAACTTTTGACTCTAGAGCGCCCCCTATAATATTAAAATAGTTATATCCGCGGTCGCAGCTGATGTCAAAGGTTCGGCGAATGCGCATTCCGGAGAACGGGCGCGTGACGGTAGCGTGAGCGTTCTCGATGGCGACCGGGAAGAGTCGCTGGAGTTCCCGCGGTCGCGGTAAGGCCGCAGCGGCGCTTCGCTGCGAGGGCCTTAAACGCTGCTTGCAGCTTTAATTTCAGTTGGTGTGCAATGAATGTGAAATATATGAAAGTTTCATTTTTATTTTTTATCATTACATTCTGGAAAATAATGACCTTTATCACAATATGCAAATTTTTTTTAGAAGGACCTGTATATATATATATATATATATATATATATATATATATATATATATAAATCACTACATTGCCAAGAGTATTATTTCACCTATCCAAATTATCAGAATAAGGTGTTCCAATCACTTCCATAGCCATAGGTGTATAAAATGAAACTCCTAGGCATTCAGACTGTTTTTACAATCATTTGTGAAAGAATGGGTTGCTCTCGTTTGTCCGTAACGTTCTGATTTGTTTACTTTTATGAAATATTCATCTAAATCTTTGTAAGGGATCTGAAAGTTAAATTGGGTTTCTTTTCAGAAATAGATCCTGTCTAACTCTCAATGCTAGGAAACGCCTTGTAAGTCTAAATAAGGTTGAATGAATGAAAACTGTGACTTTCCTTCCCTCCATTGATTATAGTGACATTATTTACATGAACACTCCTACAAGAACCCTGCAGATGTTGGATGTTGTCTATCATGGTGCACTAAGATTCATAACTGGCTGTGATTATCGTACCCACCACTGCACCCTGTATTCACTGGTTAACTGGACATCAACTTCACATAGACTCTCTCACTGGTACTTTTTCATCTTTAAATCACTTTTTGCCTTCATACATTTCTTACATTTCACTGCGTGACTGTAGCTGCAGTGTGCGCTCTCGGGTCTTTATTACATTCAGTGTTCCCTTAGTGCGGACTGAACTAGGCGAAAGGGCCTTCTACTCTGCTCTTGTTTCTTGGAATATCTAGTTTTTTTTTCATTCAACTTTTATTTAAACAGTTAAGTCACGTTGAGCCTCAAGACTCATTTACAAATAACACATAAGGTTTGGAGACAAAAAAAATCCCGAACACACTTTTAACCTTTGTTTGAAGGTCAACAGTGTGATGAAAAAAATCTTACACACGAGCACCTAATGATGACGACATTACGCAGGGGGGAAACGTAAGGATGGTTAGCAGCCAGAGACAACACACAGAGGCACTGCAGAGTTCAGATAAAATCACTCAATTCTAATGGTTCCCTCTGGAGAGATCCGTGCACACTCGGGGGGTGCCGAGGACGACCAGAGATGAATCCAGAGTCCTGAAATGATGACAGAATGTTTATTCAGCTGGGCTCCTCTGAAAAGTCCATGGAAATTCCTCAGTAGGAGAGGGAGGGGCAGAGCATCAGGTTTACAAAACTTAAAGGCGGGTTGAGATAAGATGGCTTGTCAAGGCCAGTAAGGGAGCCAAATTCAGATAAACACTATTGTTTTGGGGACAGGCAGAACTTTAATGACATCTACCATGAGTCTGTATTGGTCCACTCAGATCCGAAACGTCCAAATTAAATGACCATACCAATGGAATGTGCCTGAAAATAATCCCCGAGATCTGATCCATTTTACCATTCTGCTGGAGGCACGAACCAAGCCATCATATAAGGCAGGCAGACTGATCAGGTCCAGATTTGCTGCCATGACTTCCTTGTTTGTTGATAGACCAGGAACCAGCCAAATCCAAAAAGCAGGAACCAGTTATCATAAATCCAATTATAAATGTGTCCTTAAATCCACAGATGGCAGCAAAGATAGATACATCATCAAGTCTTCAAAGTCAATGAGATTTCCAGCTGTGTGCGTGCCAACAGGGCAAATCGGCTTGCCTAAAGCATGTCTTCTTTTTGAAGAAATGTTATCAATTGTGTTGAGGAACCAACTGACCAAATCCAAGTCCATATTTATGATTCGGAAGATTTAATTCAATTCAATTCAGTTTATTTCTATAGCGCCAAATCACAACAAAGTTGTCTCAGGGCACTTTACAGGAACATTCACATAAAAGCCAATTAGTAAAGTTCTCTATCTAAGGAATCCAGCAGACAAGTTGAATCTTGGCTTCGTTGCAGTCTCCCATCCTGAGCAAGCACAGTGGCAACAGTGGAAAGAAAAACTCCCTTTAACAGGAAGAAACCTCCAGCAGAACCAGGCTCAGGACAAGCGGCCATCTGCTTTGACCGGCTGGTTTGAGAGGACAGGAAGGAGAGACAGACAAACACAGAATGGTAGGTCCAGGTATAGGTCCAGGTCCAGATATAGGTCCAGGTATAGGTCCAGGTCCAGATATAGGTCCA